CGCTCCCCTCAGAGGTGGGCACTGAGCACATGCGCGCACGGAGCAGCTGCGTATGGAGCAGGTGATGTGCACGGAACAGATGTGCACGGAGCAGATGTGCATAGAGAAGGAGATGTGCATGAAGCGGATGTGTATGGAGCAGGGGAGGTAGAGCAGGGGACGTGGAGCACGGGATGAGCACAGAGCAGGAGACTTGCACGGAGCAGGGGGTGTGCACGGAGCAGACGTGCGTGGACTGGCTCTGGCTGGAACAGGAGATGTACACAGATCAGGGGGAGAGGGTGGAAGGGCAGGCAGGCTGCTGCCAGCTAACCCGATTTTAGCACAGCATCATGAACCCTTTCCCAAATGCTGGCCCCTTCGGAAGGGCAGGGAAAGGCAGACAAGGGCTGATCCCATGAGCAAAGTGGCACCGAGGGCTGTTCCCAAGAGCTGCCCCTCGTGTGGTCAGAAGATGCAGGTTTGGTGGGAGCCGGGCAGCTGCCCTGCCCAGGGGAGCTCCCTGGGGGCAGGGTGGGAGGTGGGAACTGCCCGTGGGGCTCAGCACAAGCCGGCAGCAGCACAGGGTGAGCTGGCACGGGGCTGCGGAGGGCATGCGTTCTCTGAGGACTCCACGGGACAAGTACTATTGCTCTTGCTCTGAATACAGCGACAGGACAGCACGGTTGTTTGCTGGCTTTAATGAGGATGGGCTTGGTGCAGTGACAAGATAACACAAATTACGGACTGGCTGAGACAGGAAAGTGCCTGTGCTGGTGGAGACAGGCGTGCCTGAAGTCCTCCTGGAGCCACTGGCACCGCACGGCTTGCACAAGGCAGAGGTGCTCAGCCCCATGGCCTGATCCTGTGTTCGAGATGGCCACTGGGTCCTGGGAGAGCTGCTGCTGAGCCCTGGCATGGCAGGTCTGGCCCTGAGCCTTATCCTGCCCTGTGTGACCACCGCGACGGGAATGAGTTAGGGGAGTTTTGCCGAGCATGACAAGCTCAGACAAGGATGTGCCATGCAAACAGATCTTCTACTTCTTTATAGTGCCCTGCAGAAATGTCCCTGCTTCCTCCCCCGAAATGGGCTCTTTGGCCTTGCAGGCTGCAGTGCCACACATCACTTGGCAGCTACCATGACACTGGCGTACTCGGAGCAGGCTGCACCGGGGCTCCTGCCATGCTGTGGGGCTGCAGGCAGGGGCTGGAGATCGGCGTAGTGGATGTTATCGTCCTCCTTGCTGCTTTGCTGCAGAAGTGCACACAAATGGTTAATGCTGTCACTAGACAAATCTTGCAAAAATAACCCTAACAGCAGGTTCAAGCTGTGACAGTAGTGCCACGGCTGCACAGGTGGCCCTGTGCTGTGATGCAGAGCGTGCCAGGACCGCATGCAGGCGGCTGCTGCTCACCCAATGCCCCCCCTGGCCCCGGAGCCTTGCAGAGTCCCTGTAAGCTGGGACGTTGGCGCAGGATGCTGGTCCCCTCTACTGACAGGCAGCTCTTACCTGGCTGGGTAGATGTGAGGTCTCTGCATCCAGGACTTTGCTGCTGGGGGGGAAGGACAGCCATTAGAGCTAAAGGAAGCTGGGTCCGCTCCCCACGCCACCCAATGCAGCACTCCTCAATTCCCCTCCCAAATTTTAGCTGAGCTCTGCAGCATGTGGCCACACGACACCCACGCTGAAGGCAGAAGAGAGGGACAACGTGCTGTCTGCGTGCCTGGGGCTAGGCTCAGACACCACGGTGAGGGGCTTGCAGGGAGCTCCCGGGCGCTGGGCGCTCCCTGCCGCATGCTCCTGTGAAACACAGACAGAAGCAACACAGCACAGTGATGTGCCTGTGAGTAAAGGACATTTTCTGGGGAAAATTACTGCTCCAGAGGGAGGGGAAACCAGGATAAGACAGGTGGATAAGGCAGTTCACTCATCTCAAGGTGTAGAAGGAAGAGATTGGTGGGTACGAACCTGGGGGTGCCGGGTACAAACCTAGGGGTGCCGGGTACAAACCTAGGGGTGCTGGTGGTCCCTGCACAGCACAGCAGAGGGATGGGTGAGAAGCTGCCCATGGCTGCCGGACCAGCTAGGCACTGGCTCTCCGCCTTGGCTCTGTGCTTCCTCCTGTACACGCAAAGAGCAATGAAGAGGCCGAGGAGGAGGAGGAAGAGCACTACAGCTACAGCCACGATGCTGGGAACCAGGGCTGATCCTGTGGAGATACAAGGCAGAGCAAGGAGAGGGTGGTGAGTGCAGGGCAGCATGGGCCCCCACTGCACGCAGGGCAGGGGCTGTGGGATGGGGTCCTCAGGAGCGAGGTGTCCCGCTGAGCTGCACTCACCCTGCAGGGACACCACCGTGCCCTTTCCATGCAGAAACACCTCATCACCATCCAGAGATCTGCGGAACTTCACGCAGTAATAGGTGCCAGCATCCTCGGGTTGAACATCCCTGATGCAAATGGTGAAGTCCGTGTCAGACCCAATCAGTGCCCTCGTCACGCGGGGGAAGACGCCCGTCTGGTCATAGATGGTCTCGTTCCCAGTGCCCCAGCCCTTCAGCCACTTCACGGGGCCGGGGATGGAACTGTTTCCAGATGTGGTGCAGTTCAGGGTGAGGTTCTGTCCCGCTGTCACCACCACCTTGTCCTGGGGCTGCTTCAGCTGGAAGTCCTGAACCGTCTGGACACTCGCACCTGGGCACAGCGACAGGAGGGCAGGGGCTGAGTGTTTGAGC